ACTGGGTTCATTACTGGAAGATACTACGGCGACAATATTAGAAGATTGTTAAATTTGATGACCCATTTAGAGACTAAAGGAAAGGAAGAAATGTTACTATCGCTAGATGCCCAGAAAGCATTTGACAGAGTATCCTGGCAATACCTTTTTCAAACATTGAAAAGATTCCAATTTGGCCCTAAATTCATCAAGTGGATACAAATACTATACTCCAACCCACAAGCTGCTGTTAAAGTTAATACGTTTCTATCAGATCGATTTGCCTTTGAACGAGGATGTAGACAGGGCTGCTCTCTATCACCACTAAGTATCGAACCATTAGCACAGCTCATAAGGGATGATAATAATATAAAGGGATAGACAATAAACGGAGAACAACATAAGTTATCATTATACATATATATATATATTGTATTATATATATTATATATTGACATGCTGCTGTATCTAGTTGAACCTATAATATCAATTCCATGTTTAAAGGACATTATCTCCACATTTGGGCATTTTTCAGGATATAAAGTTGACATAGACAAAACTATGGCCATGGATATAGATAATACAATTTCTCAAACAGTCAAGGCTCAGAGTGGGTTCAAATGGCCCAAAGATGGTATTAAATATCTAGACATCAAAATCCCCCCATTGTTAGAACATTTATATGAAGTGAATTACAGAACCATGATACAAAATATTAGTAAGGATCTGGACAAATGGTCAACGCTTCCTTTAGCTATGGCAGCCGCATCGAGAGCATACGAATGAATGTCCTACCAAAATTATATCTTTATCAATATATCAGTCTATTTCAGATGCTGCCTGTAGATATTCCCAAATCTACATTTGATAAACTAGACAAGCTGACCTCGAAATTTATATGGCAATGGAGGTGTCCTAGGGTCAGACTAAAAATACTCCAGCTATCCAAATCACGTAGAGGCCTCAAACTCCCAAACCTCAGGTTGTATTTCTTGGCTGCAGAGTTGAGACCCCTAACAGTATGGCTGCAAGACTCCACAGGTACAAGGTGGCTAGACATTGAGAAAAGCACATCCCAGCGTCCCTTACAGACTCTACCTTTCTTAGATACTCCGCTTGGTGAGACTCAAATGAGTGAGTTGACTAGGACCACTTTGAAGATTTGGAGGAAAATAAAACTATCATATGGGCTGCCTAGATCAGTCTCATCATTAACCAACATTGGTTTTATAAATGGTTTTGTCCCCTCTCAGATGGACTAAATTAGAAAGTGGTCAGAGCACGGACTCACAAACCTATACCAACTTCATAAAGATGGATGTTTCAAATCATTTGAACAGTTGGAAGGAACTTACACTCCCAATACAGACTTTTTCAGGTATTTAAAAATAATGGACTTTATAACAAAGCATCGAGAGTGGAATAAAATCCTAGAGCCCACACTGATTGAAGAATTCCTGATAAAATTACAAATTGAAATAAGAAAATGATCGGCCATTTTTACAAAATATTTTTAGATATGAATCCTAATGAAACTCTTCAGATTAAAGAAAAATGGGAAAATGAAATGAGCACAGTCATACAGCAAGACGAATGGGAGCAAACGTGTACAGAAGCACATCAAGTAACTAACTCATATATACATGGCGGGAATTCAGGTAGAAGTTAATAATAAGATTCTTCAGAACACCAGCAATCACATCCAAAATGGAACCCATGTATTCAGATAAATGCCGGTGAAGTTGCAGGACACAAATTGGTAACCCTAACCATATACTTTGGACCAATCCTAAACTGGAAACATTTTAGGATGAGGTTTTTGGGGCACTTGGTAAAGTATTTCAGAAAGTTTTTATAAAACATCCCAAGATGGTAATGCTAGGACTAATGCCAAAAAATACCTTTTACAAATATTACTGATTGCAGCTCTTAAATGTATTACAGTTAAATGGTTAAAACACAATTCTCCAACATACAATATGTGGATCGAGAAGGTCTGGGAAATCTACCATATGGAACAAATAAGTTATTCCCTGAGGCTTCAAAAAGATATATTTGTTAACAGATGGGGACCTGCTATGACTATACAAATGCAGTGAAATTCATGTTTTTTGTCTTATTTTATTTTATTTTAATTCATTTATTTATTGCTGCTTATTATTTAATTACTTATTAATATGTTTGTGTATTACTCTTATCTAACTGTGTAACTTGCACATACAGTATGTTTAACCGTGATGATGAACCGAGTGATCTGATTCTGTATTGTATTCTGCAGATTATGGGAAACAGCAGACTAAATGTGAATGTGCATGTCTATGATTGTATAAGTTGCTGAAACTGAAATAAAAATTATGTTAAAAAAAAAAAACGACATGCTAAAGTAATCACAAAGTTTGCCTCACTACAACCTCTGGTCTATTCAAAAGTCCATCATTCTATATTTTTCAAAATATACAAATTAACCAACATCTACATGAGCACAAGTCTTCTATTCTACCAAAATCCACACAGACATTCTTTAGATACTATTTTGTTGGATGAATAGACATTTTTTACTTCTTTTGGTACAAATTTCATCCAATCTTTACCAAAATCAGTACAAGCATATTTAGACGAAGCCGATCAAGACTTACAGGTTTTTGTTTAGGTATCACTTATCGTTTGTCTGTAATTGGTTAGCAAACTTGAAGACAGCCTTATGCACTTAAAAGGCCATAACTCTTCAATACAGAATTGGATTACAACCAAATATGATCATTTTTTACATAAAGCCACATTAGATACAGGCACAGGTCAGATGCGGGTCAGAGGTCTATTTAATTAATAAAATAGTAACAATAATGGTAATATTAATATTAACTGTATTTTATTCATTTATAAGTTTTAAGAAAGTCCAATAGTTTGACACTAATTGTTTTTCAGAGACAGTTAATAAAGATTTGAGTCTATATGATAATAATAATAATACTAAGTTACAGAGCTGAGAACAGATAAAGGACCAGAGGTCAGTGTTGTAGATACAGGTCAGAGGTCGGTACTGCATATTTGATTCATATAATAATAACAAAAAGATATTGTTAATTTTAACTATATTTCAAAAGTTTTAGTAGTAAAACCCTGCCGTATCTCTTCAACACACTATTATGACAGATTTTGGGTGGTATCTTCAGATGTAAATCACTTTGTGCTTAGATTCTTTCAGAAGCAGCAATCCCAAGCATTTTCTTCAGGAAATGCAAATACTCTAGTTTGTCTTTAAATTCTCACATTTATTTCCTTATTATTTTACAGGTTTATTCTTTTTTATAGCACCCTTTTTGAATCAATAGAATATAAAGCTTAGGTGTGTAATGGTTATATAAACAAGTGAGACGGATTACTGTGCAGGATATATGTGTTTATTGATTAAAGGTAAATTAAATCTGATTCATCAATATAACTTCCAGCAGTGATGTATTCGAGGCTTTACACCCTGGTGGAAGTGACATCATCAGTGGGAGTGTGACATCCTTCATGGCAGATGTGTGTGATTGTTACAGGTCCTTGGCACAGACAACAGATTTCTTCAGGGAACAGATTGCATCATTGACATAATCGCGTCCTGTAGAAAGAGGTTAGAAAGAAACAAAAATTAAAAGAACTCTGCTTAAAGTGTTTGACAAATGCTTGATGTTTCTGGACTAATCTATTGTAAGTTTACGTTTGTCTGTCAGTTACAAAAGATCGTTTTGATTACAGAGAACTGATTTATGGAGTCCAGGTGTCATGGAGAGAAAAAAACTCGTACACAGGTATACATACACAGGTTTTAGTATTTCACTCTCAAGCTGTATGTATAGTAAAGCATGCACATATGTATGTATCACTGTGTAACTTGTAAGCAGTACAGTGTGGACGAGCTCTATTTGAAAAGTGTCCTGAGATAACTTTTGTTATGATTTGGCACAAAACAAATAAAATTTAACTTAAGTGAATTTAATTGAATTAATGGTATTGCAGTGCAAACTGAATAGAGACAATTCAGCATTTAAATAAGAAGCTGGGTTTTATGTTGTTTTGCTTTTTGTGTTGTCTTTAAGTCTTTAAACATAAAAAAATGAAACAAAATTCTTTAAGCTTGACAATTTATTACTAACCTTGAAAAATTATGATATTAGTTAATGTTGTGGTGTTGTAGTTTCTTCTTATTAGGTATTTGTTATTATTTCAAGATAAGAAATGTATATTTTATTTACTGTGACACCTGCCAGCCAGATAATAAACTTACCAGAATAGTTTATGTCCATACAACCTTCTCCTCCAGTGTTGTCAGGCTGTCCCTTAGCCCAGCCATTGAAGACAAATTTTGAACCGTCACTCCACAGCCACACACCCTCCTGAAAGAAAGAGGGTCAATTTACTGTTTTTCTACCAATGCAGAGAGTACAGATAAACTGCTCAGACCTCTGACACCACTCCAACACAATTAATGACAGTGCTATTTGTTTATGGTTGTAGCGGCCCCTTGGATTT